GCACACACACACACACACACACACACACACACACACACAAGTACGCGCTCACGGAAACAAACCCGCTTTCGTGCGAACACACTCTTTACAAACAAGTTTGTCCACTGATCTAAGTAAACGTTGGCAAAAAGGCAACACGGCTGGGCTATTGTTCGTTTATAAGTTTTGTGGGTGGGAACCGTATTGAAAAAGTGGATAGGTAAAGTATTACTCCCTGTTTGTCTGGGCAATGAATATACCCTTTGCATTATATACACCTGGATCTGCCTCCATCCTGCTGGCCACACCGTCTATCAGATCGATCCGATCTTCGTGATTAGATTGGATCAATAGCCAACAAGCTAGCCGAAAAGCGAGTAGAGGGTTTTACGTCGACGTAGGGAACGCGCTGGGTTGGTTTTCTTTTTTAGCACGCTGGAGTTGTTGAGAAAACCGCGCATTGGTTCAGTATCTGTGTGGTCGCAACGCCAGGCGGAATCTTGACACAATGTCTAGCGTTTCTCTTCGTCATACTTCATTTAATAATATGAATGCTCATACTGTATCCAATTCCATGTCCCGGCCCAAGAGATATAGGCTAAGTCGCCTGAAGGTACGTTGAGATATTTTGTTGTCGTTCGTAAGTGTTTGGTAGTCTTATGTGAATGGTCTGAATCGATGTGATTTGCTGCTTCATATGAGAATTTAGACAATGTCCTTCCTCAGATTTGAATCGTTCCTAGGTGGTTGGAGGAAGTTCTGGTGTGGGGTATGGATAGTTTGCTTCTTCTTTCCTATCAAACATCTATCTTCCTTACATTGTCTCTCCTCCTTTTTGTGTTTGCTACTATCTTGTAAAACCTCTAGCCTTCGTTACTTGTATGAATTAATTGTATTGCAAGTGTCATGAAACTTTTACTAATGGGAATTGTTTACTTGGATGTTTTCTGCTTTGTAGACTGTGCCTGTGACAGGGGGTTGTTGCTGCGTTTTCTTGCTTGCGTCTTCTTCGAGTAGCCTTCTTTTTGTCAGTATAGTATTGTGGATGGTGAAGGGCGCCACTTGTATGGCCTTTTCCCCTTGTTTTCCCTCTGTTATTTCTATCTGTCTTACTTTTTCCCAGCACAAAATGACCATTATTTTGTGTCGATGGGCTTCTCTTAAACAAATATAGACAAAATCAGTATAATATCATTCGAATAAAACCAGATCTCGACAAAAATAAGGTCTTTGTTGTTCTTAGAAGCTGTATACCAACAAACCAGTGATTCTTTGTAATATTTTACAATGTCGTGCAGGTTGTGAGAAGGAGAAAAAGTAGCTTTGATGCTAATAAAGACTACATCAGCTGGTGATGTCCAAAACAAAAGTTCTATATTTCAAATCCCCACAGTGCGACACAATGGTTACATAAAAATATGGAACTTGTTTAAAATAACCACTAGAATCTGAATTAATATTATTTCAAAAGCAGAACTCAAACTCTTCAAAGAATTCTATTCCTGCAAGAAGCAGGAAGTAACTGGTTCTAAATTTTCAGTGGGTACAAAAAATGTGACCTCACTATAAGGGTTCTCTCTCTCTCTCTCTCTCTCTCTCTCTCTCTCTCTCTCTCTCTCTCTCTCTCTC